GAATTATTCTTATTTTCATTTAAAAACTTATATAAATGTAAGTTTTAAATTTGAAATTAAATTTATTGTTGCTATTTTTAAAGCTAGGACTTGGAGCCATGTTAGTAAGATAGTCAATTATCAATGAAATTGAAAGATTCCCTCTTATCTCTCCTTCCCCTCTCTACAAAGTTTTTTTCTTACAGTTTCCCCTCCTAAGCGACACTTCCAACCGCACCTCATTTTGTTAAATTCTCCCCTCCCTCTTGATAGGATTTAACAAGATAATACTCATCCTTCACCAAAAGGTTCACTCCCTGAGAAGCTTCACGGTTTCCTGCAGGAACCCTATATTTCCGCTCCCTTTTCTTCAGTCAAACTCCTCCCTTCAATTCTCTCAAATATAACGGGATAAATAAAAGAAATCCTAAATTGAAGAAAGAAGAAGAAGATTGTAAAGTCATTATCAATAGCCCAGCAGCTAATTGGCATCAGATCAATTCCTCCTACATTAATTGGGATCAAGCATATCTACTTTCTACACTACTTGGTAATCCAAGATAACTTCTTTGAAGGTAATCATATATAAACTTTACCAATGCTTATCCATCGCTTCTCATTATACTTTAAACACCACCACCAAATTAAAAAAAATAAAAAATAAAAAATTAAATTAAAAATAAAACTTTAATTCTAACCTTAGGTGGTGTTTGGTAGCATCCTATTTAATGTATTTAACTTAAATCCAGTCAAACGCTAAAAAAATTAAAATTAAATTCAAAACCCCGTTAAATGTAATTTTCTCATGTTTCGCCTCGTCTTTGCACATTCCGTCCCTTATAGGACGTAAATCCGGATTTAGTAAATCCGACTACAAGATGGATTTATTCTGCCATCCTTCGCGAGCAGAATCGTAATTTGATAAATCCGGATTTATCGGATTTGATAAATCCTATTAAACGTAATCAAAGTTGCAACCAAACACCACCTTAGTCTTAATCTTCATGGATTCCTTCTTCGATTGCCATCACATCTTTAATAAAATTGATCAGTGTAATATATATGCTTAATGCTCAAAGAGAAACAGCACATTCATATAAACTGGCTAGTGCGGCTACAAAATTGTCTTAGCTCAATTTTGAATCATATTAAAAATTTATTAACCTATTTCATGAAGCTCGTACGGATATAAATTCAAAACATTATTAAAGATTTAATTTACATACAAGTAAAACATCAATGTCTTTGAAGTCATATATGAATGCATGCCATCAATATATATATATATATGTCTTTGAAGTCATACATGCATGCATAAGACAAAATTGCATATACATCATAGTTTTTATTTTTTTGCATATGCATTCATAGTTTTTAATCTTATGGCGATGAATTATGTTATAATGGATCTTATTATGAGTATTATTACAACTACGACTACCATTCCTATCAGCATATATCATAAATCTTAAAATATAAATTCATACTTCTTATTCTTATACCAAAGATTTATATTATAATGAATATCATCAGGAGTATTATTGAAACTGTGACCGCCATTCTTATCGTCATCAACCTAATAGATATCATAAATCATCAGCAGCAGCTATCATCTAATCTTTACCGTCATTCCTATAATGGTTGTCAATTCAGGTTAGCAAAGCCAACTTTAACCTGAATTTGACTCAACATGAATATACTTAATTCAAACCAAACCAAATTACTATATGGGTTATAAATGGGTTAGAAGGTCTAACTCAAACCTAACTGCACATAGACCCAATTGAACCACACCCAATACATATGACAAATTTATCATATGATTTATACAATTTGTTTTAACTCAACATAATTAAGTTGAATATAACTCGTTGAGGTGAAGGAGGATTGTCGATTAGTCAGAAAAAAAAAAAATCCATTTTAAACAGAAAAAATAAATGGGCCGTTGTTTTTTTTTTTTGAACCTTAGGTTTCTGGTCAACCCAAACACGACAAAAAAATACTAAAAGAGTTATATTTTAACCTATACCCGTTCCATATATTATTTCCAACATGACATATATCTTTTCTCCCTCATTAAAACAAATAAAGGCATACCCGATGCATGAAGCTCACATAGCACCCCATACCACAACTCCTTTTCGCCCTCTAAATTTTCCTTTCTATTCTTTCACATCTCAAGAAAAAAATCAAGCAACTTAAAAAAAAAAACAAAAAAGACAATTCATATTAATAATCTTTGCACAAAATTTATTTAATGGAACAAGAGGCTCATTAACGCCATCATAATTAGCCTCATCAACCATGGACTAGCATAATGAACACACATTTTCACGCGTTTGTATTGAGTGTTAATTGAGATATTAAATATTATTCTGCGCAAATCACTTTGAACAACCTTTATACATATAAACTGAGGATGCACATTTTTCTTCCTAATATTTGGACACAAATTTCATCTAGTAATCTAAAGGATACATTTTTTACCCTTCATTGTACATATCCAAACCACTTGAATTTACTTTTAGCCATATTATCTTCAAAAGTCACTCCAACCTTTCATATAATGTAATCATTCTTATATTTATTTTTCTTATTTTGTAAAACATCTTAAATTTCTCATTTCTACATGCTCAACTAAAATATTAATGACTTTTCACAACCCAAAGCTTAAATTCATATATCACCATCCTAATTGTTGCTTTATTAAATTTATCTTTAAACCTTACTATTCTTCTCATTGCACAAAACTCATGGACCCTTTTATTTTAACCATCAAACATTTATTCTAAAAATTATCTCCTCATCTATACTTCCATTATTTTGAATAAAAGATGCAAAATACTTAAAATCTATGATACAGACAATCTACTTATCTTCTAATGATATTATATGATAAATTTTAACATAACTAAAATTACATAAATTTAATCATTATTTTATAAGGCCTAATGCTTCAAAAAATTTCATCCATTGCTCTAATTTTTCACTTATTTTAGTAAAAGCAACAATAATTAGGATTAAACCGTCGGTGAAAATCATCCATCAAGACATTTCATTTTAAATATCATCAATAAACTTATTCATACCCAATATAAAAAGAGACAAAATCAATGTTGATCCTTGATATAAAATATAAAAAAATAGAAGCTCTTAAATTTAGAAATGTCTAATTACCAACTTCAAGAAAGTTGGAAGTTTAATATCAACTTGATCTCATTCAATTTTTTTTTTTTAATAAAAAAAGGCAAATTCAACATTTGCTTGACCACATTCAAAATAATTAATGAAGGAATATAGAAGCTCTAAAAGCAAAAAAACAGTCTAATGCCTAAAATTGTATTACTATTTTAATAAGAGCCAAAAGAGTTTAATACTAGTCCGTGCACAATCATGAATATCTTTAATAACGCCATCAAAACTTTGAAATGCATTTTTAATTATATGCACTAAATTAATTCATTTGATACTCAAATCATATGCCTGTCTGAAATCAATAAAAATCATATAAAATATGCCTTCTTTGTTATCCATGCCTCTTCATTAATTGTCTTAATAAAACAAACACTTAAACAAAAGATCTTAATGGCATAAGAACAAATTAATTTTCCAAAATTGATGCCATTTTTCTTTGTTTCCTTATCATCACATAGATTCATTATATGACTCATAAGTTTGATTACCACTTAGCATAATCTTGAACAACATTTTTATTTTCAAATTTTTTTGACAAAATATTGATAGAATCAAATAGCATCATCTTCATTTTTAATATATATTAAAAAGATTTATTAATTAAATCACTACAAGATCCCATAACTCTCCAAACCTCAATAGTATCATATATGGATCTAAAGCCTTGTCCTTATAATTCCTATTCAGAGTAAACTCCAATATATTTTTTTGGATCAATCTATAATATATATCATTATATTGTAATTATTCTCCTCCAAAGGAAGTTCTTAAATTACTCGCATAGCATTTTCTCAAAATAACATTTGTCCTTGATATCATTACCTTTAATCAAGATTTTATCAGCTTCAATTTTAATATAAATAATTTGATCAAAATCCTTGACCTCTCATCCATTTAACTGCTCGAAATAACTCCATTTCTTATTACTCAGAGCCAAACCATTTAGATAAAACTATCCACGTTGTAGTTTATTTACTCGATACCATCTTTGACAGATACCAGAAACACAATTTAAAATTGATGTTGTAGATAAAAAAGGAATTCGGCAAGAAGGAAACATTTTAAGCATGACACAGCATGAAGCAACACAACATAAATTACCATGGAAGAACAAAAATTAGACAGTTTGAAGATAAAACGAATAGCTGATTCTCTTCAACTCATCCTCAACAGTGGCATCCTTAAGCCAAAAAACTAGGTGGAGTGCTGATTTAATGCAGCATTAGTGACAATCAAAGAATGGATTGCCTAATTCATGCACAGCTATCTATTACAACAGATTAATAAAGCATATGGCACGCAAAAGCTGATTAAAGATAAATAAACAATCACTAATAGAAGTTGGGTGGAGAACAGATCATAGTCAGGAAAATCTAAAGATTTCTTGATGGGTTTTCAGTTTTACATAGTAAATTATTTTAGGGTAGCTTACCAACACAAGGGAATAATAAGAGTACAAGAAAATATAAAAAAAAAGGTATAGATATGTTAGGAAAAAAAATACAGAACGTACAATCCCAATAAAATTAGCCCAAGCAACCATAACTGTTTTGAAAACAATTGGTGAAATCCAAACAGAGCTGTGAGAACAATTACGTAAAAAGTACTATGCAAATTAATCTGGTATGCTGATAAGAAGTATTATGCAAATTAATCTGGTATACTGCAATGAAAGGCGTTGTTCAATGAACATAGTTGTAGCATAATCAGCAGTTGACAAAGTATCTACAAGTTATGGTAAAGTAAGCACAGATCCCATCCTTCATACAGAGATTAAAAAGGAAAACATATAACTCATAATTATTGTATAGGGAGGAGAAATTTACCAGAGAAAAAGCCTTTTGGTTAGCTGAATCTGAGGTCTCTTCTGTAGGAAACAACTTTGAATGATTTGATGCGTCCATATAAAGTAAAAGCAATAAAGCATAATATATATCTAGGCAGAGTTTCGAATTGCATGCAAAATACATATAGAAAGTTTCAAAAAGGAGCTTAAAAGACAGCATACAGAACCACAAATAAAGAAACAAAGAAGTAACATGCTCGGTAACATGCTCAAAGTGTGCCCAAAAATTGCTTTGATTTAGGAGAAAATCCCATAACAGAAAACCCCATTACAACATGATGCATATCCAATAGTGTCCAGAGGGAGGCACTTTGTTGTGCTAAGACGCCTATCAGTAGCAAAGGGCAATAAAACTAAAGCATATTTTTCAACACATTTCCAAATGAAAGACCCACTAGATGCTAACACTTTACCATAGGATGAATAGGACAACGATTAAAGGGAACAAGTGACCATGAATGAGAGGCTAAATAATGGAAAAAAAAACTGGGGGTACGCCAAGCCATGAGAGATTAAATCACTAATTAAAGAGGCAATATAAAAATTTGGCGAAATTTCCCTGAGTTCCCACTTTCAAATATAGTTCTCAATGAAATAGTTACTGAGCAAATGCACTTATATGTGTGGCACTGCTAGAGTATGCAAATGCGCTTAAATGTGCTTGCTAAACCCATGACATCTGAAACACTTCCTTGCGGACATTTTGTTGGGCGTACTGTTCCACTCGGGCTTCTTCCCACTCTGATTAACTCTATCACCTTTGGACAGTTTTCACACCTACCTCTAGTGTACTACTGGCTCCTCCTACTATGGGTGATAGTATGAATGAAGGTGGGGTCCTTGATCTGCTTCGGCCAATGTCTGAACATCACTCAATGTAGGGGTGCAAACGAGCCGAACTCGAGCTAGGCTATATTTCGAGCTCAAAAAGTGTGTTCGTGTTCGGCTCGTTCGCTTAGCGAGCCGAACACGCGCCGCTCA